CAGTGAATCTCTCCCTGGTCGGTGCCATCCTGTTCTGGGCGTGGCTGGTTCACAAGGATCGATGTGTTATTGCGGTGCATGGCGTGTCATGTGGCAGTTCTGAGTGAGGGTTGTGGGTGTAATCGGACAGCCAGCGAAACAGAAAATGAGAAATATGAAGGCACAGGGGAAGAATTTTTTCACTTCAGATGGAAAGTAGTAATCTATGGACAACCCCTCCCAAAACAGATGTGTGTTAGACTCATTTTCATAGTTTCGAGTGCAAGATGAGGGAGCATACAGCACAAACAGGGCCAAGAATAAAAAGACTGCAATCAGGGTGGGTGGGTAGGTGGATGGTGGTGGGGGAAGGGGGAGGTGGGGGAGGTGGGAACCCATTACGACTTTGTGCAGCAGCTGGGAAAGTTGTCCGATTTCTTTCATTGCAATGTCCACTGAATGCCAAGCTACCATGGGTGGCAAACCATTGTGCAAGACGCTGTTTTGTGCTTTGCACAGAAACTTCTGTGTCATCAGATTATCGTTCGTGGGAATCTCAAGAATCTTGTCCTGTAGTGGGATGCTCACTGTGTCACACTTTGTCATCCCCTTTAGAATCTTTGCTGCGCAGGCATGCCATCCATGGGGTTGTGCAGATGTGGCACAGGAGAAAAATTCCCAGTGCCATGTGACTAGAGTGAAGCGAACACAGGATCTTGCCCTCGAGAGGTTGTGGAAGAAACTGCTTGTGAATAGGGCATTGTTTTTCTTAGCTCCCTTGATTTGATTGGCCTCTGCCAGGCAAAACAGTGTGCTGAACTAGATGAAACGATTGCTTGTACAATTCTACAGTTCGCATTTTTCTACTTGTGCATTCTTTCTGGACACAGATCATGGAATTGGGCGCAGCCTTGAGCCTGGGATCACCCTGGTGCTGATCCATTTATTTTAATCGTTGTGGTGACTATACAGTCCCAGGCGTTCATGAGCCATTGAACAGCAATATGTGCATGTGCAGCTCATTGTTCCAACTCATTCACATGCACCCCAACCTTCAGGCTGCTGGAGTTTCACAAGCGCACACTGAATTTTCTCTCCCACCTCACTTGCAGGATGTGGCTTTTGTTGACGAGTCTATTGAGACAGCAGCTTGCAGCTGGAAGCTCTACTGCATATGCGATGGCCATGGGGGGGTTGGGGCTGCACGCTTTGTGCAGGACAACCTTGTGTGCAGCCTGAGAAGACTCCTCCCAAAAGGACCCCAGCCCGATGTTGCAGCTCCAGGTAGGTGTTAGGATGTCTGAACTTCTTTGGGCGCAAGTACTCATCCGATTATCCTGTGAAATCCTATTCCGTTTGACAAGAAGTGGCAAGGGACTGCCCTCGCTCCTTCAAGGTAGGAGATGGGTCAGGGTCCTTGCACAGAATGCCCCAGTTGGGATCCCTTGTGGGCTGCAGCTTGAACCAAGATCGAATCCGGCTGTGCACACCAGAGGAGAGGCAGGTGCCCAAGCATATGGATAGGTTTTTTGGGCCCCTTAATGTGCTGGTTGTGTGCCAGGCTTCCTTTCATGCTCATCTTCAACAGTGGTAGAAGTGCTGCCTTTCATCTTCTTTCTTTCATTGCTTTCCTTGCCCTGTGTGAGTGGAGATCATTTTTTTGGGAGAAGCAATGTGACTTTAAGTTTCTGTATGTCGAAGTTGAGAATGTCGGTTCAGTCCAGTGCAGTTCAACTGGGTCTGCTGGCACAACATGGGCATTCTGTTGTGTATGAGAGAGAAAAACTGTACAGGAGGAAAGTGAGCTGGTCCACACAGTTTGTTTTGTTGATATGCTCCTGATAATGACAATCATATGTGTGTTGAATTGTTAGAGGGGAGGCAGTGGGCAGAGCAGATAACCAGTGCCATTGCTGCCACATTCGTTGCCCTTGATGAGGGCTTCTCGGAGTACAGATGCCCTTCAGGTAAAGTTTGCCCACTTGCCAGGAATGGCCCAAGAGCAATTGTCCACACGCACTGCTAGTCTCATTAAGACATGTTGTGTGCTTCAAAACATGGCTATCAGCACACTGGCATGGTGTGAAAACAAAATTGTAATCGTAGAAACAGATTCATGAATGTTGCTGTGCATCAATTTGCACAAACTAGGAGCTGGAAGGAACAGGGCGGTTTTGTTGCTCACTGTAGGAGATGGGGTTGCTCTATAGTGAGAAATACTTTAATGCCAGAAGTTTTGCATGTTTCCCAAAAGCGGTTGGTGCAGAAAGAATTTTGTGCACTCAATGATGTGCAATAATTTCACTTCCCTACACATTCCTTCCCTCCAGTAATTCTGGCAAGCAGAGATTCCATACTGGGAAATCTGCTGTCCAAAACAGGTATCTGCCTTCATGCCCTGCTCGTCCCTTGGTCCATGATGTTGAAAGGAGGGGGGGGAGGGGGCACGGCGCACAAAACTCTTGAGCATCCAGCTTGCCCAAGCTGCAGCCCACAGCTGCTGTGTGTCCACATGGCTGCTGTAGCCATCCCTGCAGCCACAGCAAAGACTATGAAAGTGCCACATCGCGTTGAGTATTCTGCGCGCCTGTCTGTGCTGTGCATGGGCTTGGGCAGGACAATACACTGGCTGGCAGCCCCTGGAATGTGGAAGTGAAGACTCAAGGTGCTGAAAGCCCTTGACCCTGGACAGTTTGATGCTGAGCACATGGGCACATTGTGCTGCAGAGTTGTCAGTAGTGAGCAGTCCACCCCACTCTGCATGACAGAGACATTTCTGCAGATGCTCGGCTAGAGATCCACCTGGTCATATCAGTGCACATGTGCTCTGTGTGGCTGCTCAGCAATGATTGCTGCAATTGGCAGCCACAGGGCACCAAAAGCAAAGGTGTCTTGACAATCAAAGAGTTGGCAAGCAAAAAAGTTCACAGGGCGCCCAACCATCAGGTGATGCAAGGTGCTGTTCACAGGTTCATGCATATTGTCTGCAAAACGATCGAAACCTCAAGAACACCCTCCTGTCAGTGCTGCCAATAGCAATCAACTGGTAACAGCACTGCTGGCATGTGGGTGATGGATGTACTCTATAAAAAGGTTTGGCAAGGCACCTCAAGCCTGCTGTGTCACAGATGAATAAACACCCTGCAGCGCAGTGGTAGAAAAATACCAAAGAACAACCAATCTTCCATTGCATTGTCACACCCACACTGGTTGCCTTCCAACTGCAGCAGTGCCTTGCCCCAGGTTCTTCGACACAGCGCTCTTCAATGGATCTGTGTCCATTTACATCAATCGTTGCAATGTGTTCCGGGTTGTAATATGTTCAATTGTGTTTCCATGCACTGTCATCCTGCACGTTTTTTCAGCAGATTCGCTGCGCTCGCCTTCCGCTCAGTTTGAAGCTTTCCGGACCCCTGTTCACATTGCACATGCCATCGCTGCAGGCACAACAGTGTCAGTGGCCCTCCTGTGTGGGTGGCTGCTCACTGTGGCCAATGTCGGCGACTCCGAGGTGTACCTGGACACCGGCACATGCATTGGGGAGATGGCCTGCTGCCACAAAGTGGATGACAACAAGAATGAGCAGCAGCGCCTGGCTCAGGCGGGCCTTCGTGTAGACTCGCTGTCAGCGTCGCTCATGGGGCCGCCTCTGCCGGGGGAGATTGGCGTGGGGCCCTTGAGGGTGTGGCCAGGGGGCGTCGCTGTGTCGAGGTCGGTGGGCGACTTCGAGTGCGGTAATCACATCCTGCCGGTGCCGCACATCCGTCAGGTAGTGGCTGGGGTCTGTTGGGGGTCAGTGACAATTTGGCAACACACATTTTGGCAACCGTGTTGGTGCATGTTGGCCACCATATCGATATCTGTTGGCAACCATATGTGTTTCCCCATGCCGGGGGTTCATTCTAGGTCACTGACATGGAACTGGGGAATTTGGAATTTGGGTGGATTGATTGGTGTGAAATTAGATTTTGACTTGTTGGTTGTCAAATGGTCTGTTTGCTTGATTGCAAGTGTCGAATATCAGTCCGTACAACTGCATCAGGCAAGATGTCAATCCTCTAAATTGTCTTCACCTGTGTATGAATCCATTTGCTGCCTCGATTCAACCGAATTTTTTTATCCACAGAAGTATAAATTCGATAAATGGGCAACAGAGTAACATTTGTTAGGCGAAGTCTGACAGGGTGCCACCCCTACACCTGTGATGGCAGCTGATGGCTGTGTGCCCAGCTGTGGCTAATTTTGTTCCCAAGTGCAGTATTATGGAATAAAGGATGGGGAAAAAGGTTGCTGCTGCCACACTGCTTTACTGCCATAACGACAACACTTGGAGCGTTCTTTGTAGTATGACTGTCAGGTGGTTTACCATCGTGCAAAGTCACATTTTTATACAAGTATATAGTGAATGATAGTTTAGCGATTGTTATGCATTGCTTAAATTTAACATAACTTCAATATCACTTTATTGTATTGTTGTGCAATATTATTTGGAATGCTTTACTGATGCTGCTGGAGTGCTACCAAGGCATTTGCGAATGGTCTATATGATCAAGGTAGTAAACGTACCTTCATCACAGATACAGACACTGGAAGGATAGGTAGAACTGAAAGAGGCTTTTGTAAGTTTTGTTTATGCCTCCAATGTTTGCTGTTTAGCTTGCAATTACTCTGCTGCCCTTGCACGTGAGAGTGGCGATTAATCAACAGTACTGTTTTGTCCCAGTATGTGCATCAATGGTTATGTGTGTCACTCTGCATAGCGCGCACAGCTAGGAAGTGCTGCACTCTGCTGATTGTCATTGCTGATATTGGCTGTGAGCTGCACTGTGCTCTGCCAGTTGTCATCCCCCAAACTGGACTGAGTTTGTAGCCACGCACCACAGATCGTCATCCCAGACACTGGTGCCCGTATTCTCATGGCCTCCGATGGGTTGTGGGACTACTTCACTGGCCTGCGTGCCTGCAAAATGGCAAGGACAAGCACCCTGTCGAAGGTGCCACACCGGCTCTTCAAGTCGCTGATGTTCCACACCGATGGCGTCCTCACGGATGACACCACCATACTGGCGTTTGACGTCCTGCCTCCTGGTGCCACAGACTTCCGACATCTTGCAAAGCAGGTAGGCACGCTGATGGCACTCAGGGACGATGTGTACAAAGGAATCGAAACTCAGGGCAGTTGGTGAGAAACCTGGAAATGTATTGTCCAGCGGAAGAAAGCAAAACCCAGGGCAACCCGACCAGAGGGTAATCCTAAAAGCATCTGTGCACACTGTGCCATTTTGCTTAGACTTTTGCGCCGTCGTCCATGTTCTTGGAAAGAGAAGTGCTGAAAGTCTTGCTCACGAGGGGTGGTCCATTGTAGGAACTACTATTCTTTTATGTCATGTAGTCTCTGGTGCTCAACTAGCTGATTTGCTGCTTCTGCTGTTATTTTGTGTCTGCTCTTCTATAGGTTGCTGAGTGCGTTGTTTGTTTGTGATGGGTCGAGAAGGGGATGCTCATACGCTTGGTGTCCTTGTCTCTGCTGTTCGAAATGTTCACATGCCTGTTGTCTAATTGTGCATCTATTATCATGTTTGGATTATTGCTTTGTTGGCTATGTTTGTATTTGTCTATTTGTCCATCTATCCGTTGTTGTCTGTCCATTTGCCTTCTATCCATTTCTGCACTTGTCCATTTGTCCTTTCGTCCATTTTTCATATTTATGTCAATACCACATCCACCACTTGTTTGTGACAGGTGAGGAAGAGCACGCGAAGGAAGGTTCACTCGTGGAAGGACATTCTGTCCATCTTAACGTACCCATTGCAGGATGGCAGTCAGGAGCCCCTGTCCCTCTACACAGACATCGACGTCTACACGCACTATCCACGGATCACATCACGAGGGGTGGCGATGTACAGAATGAACAAAGAGCGGTACTGTGCACTGTGGGTGCCCCCCAAGGCAGTTCACCCTGTGCGCTATGACAGCACCATGGTGGACTTGATGAACGACCTGCAGCTGGAAGATGGTGGCAGGTGTTTGTCTGAGCCTGCAGAGGGGCTGATCGAGCAGGATGGGGTGGCAGGCGGCAGGTGCGAGAGCTGGCAACAAAGCATTGGTGGCTGGTTTGTGTGGTTCCATTTGTTTTGTTGTGTGTTTATTGATTACTAAGATGCTAGTAGTGGCGTTGGCAATGGATCGAAACTGTGTGGTCTTCTGGCTGAGTTTTCACTGCTCAGTTTCACCATTAGACTGACTGAAAGATTGCCTGTGCCAAGAAACCACCTTGTCGTTTCGGTGCTTTGGAAACGAAACAGCTGCCGAGTTCGTGTCGTGCCTGTGGTTTGAGGGCCTGCTGTGGTCTGTCTCATCGTTGTGCAGGTGTTGGAGGTTTCCAATCTCAGCATTGCTGTTGAGTGGTGGTACTTGATGTTACCACCTCACACCACTGCATATGCAAATGAGCACATTCAGTCGTTCGGTCATCAAAGTGTGCACTTGTTCCTTGCAGGATGGAGGCACGTGTTGGGAAGGATGGTGGAAAGGTGAAAGTTGGAAGGAGGCCGTAAGCTTGATATCAGCGATAATGTGCAGGAGTCACTACAGCATGTGAAGGTCCCAAAACAAGAGCAAGGTTGCAAAGAACTCAACAAAGCAGTTCACAAAATCGCACAATTCGCTGTTTCACGATGACTCTGCTCAGGCCATCCGCATAGACCCTGTGGACCAGCAGGAGGACATCATGATGACAATGTAGATGTGGTGGTGTGGAAGATGAGTGCAGGGCCCCTGCCAAGGCCCGCAGGTTTCACAGCGGCATCTTTTGGCGCTCATTTTGCGCTGGGGATGCGCACAGAGTTGGCCAAGTGCCATCAACAATGATTCGTGGAGTCCATTTCAAAAACCAAGGTAGAGGACTAGTGGAATGGTGGTGTTCACAAGCTTGTCACAGCAGTTTGTGGTCCTTTGGCAACACATGCACTGGTTTCATGCTTGGAGAGTGTATGCCGGGTCTGGCTGGCTGGCAGTGGCTCTAGAGGCTTGTTAGGCAGTTCGCAGTGATGATGAGCGTAGGGGTGGATTCATAGACGACCGCCATGGGTAGGGTGGAATACGCATCTGTGCATGCAACCTGCATTAGCAGTTTTGGATTTGTGTTGGGGGTAAGGGCGTGGCTAGGGGCGTCCCAGACCAGCAGCTGCAGCTCGCTGCTGTAGGCCCGGGAGTATGCGGACGCGTAAAGCGCGCTGGCCAACTCAATCAGCACAGCATCAATGGCGCCGCACAGGCACACGCAATGCACGATGGCCGGATGCCAAGCCGACGTCCTGAGAGAGCCGGCTATGCGCCGGGATGGGTTGTTGGGGAGGAGACCTGCTGCGATTGGTGCAGGGGGTCTGTCGCAGTCTCTGAACATTTGCTTGTGAACATTCGCAGAGAGTGATGGGGAGGGCCACGGCCACAGGGGATCAAGAACGCAAGTGATACGTACAGCCGATGTGGGCACGAAATCCTACTGAACATTTGCTGCAGCGGGTGACGGGGAGGGGCCGCGGCCCAATGGATCCAGAACACAACTGATACGTGCAGCCAGTGTGGGCACGGAATCCCGCTTCAACAAGTGAAGGAGCACCGATGCTGCTTCGCTCTGTGATTCAGTTTTGTGAATGTAAGCATCTGATTGTGTGACCAGCCGTCCCTGGTGCTCAGGAGGCAACCTGCTGCGCCAATCATGGAGCACCCTCATGAGCACAGTCGTTGTAACTGCGGCAATGTTTTGCGGCCGATATGGGCACACGTAAGCCCATTCGGCGCGTCCCACGTGGGGCGCATAGGCTGCCGCCATGTCTCGCGTTCTTGCAAGTCCCACCCAGGGCCACGGCTGGCTACGGGGGCTCGCACCGTGTCATCAAAGCTTTGATCGCTCCTAAAACACATGCTATACACTTTTATATGCTTTCGCAACTGTCTGATATATATACTCAATTTGTTCAAAAACTATGCGTGTGCCGCCACTTATTCGCCTAGGTGGCGCACGGCTCCTCCAAATGCCTGCAGTCTCCTGTTGTAAAGCATGAGTTCACGCAATTCCCCCCTTTGTCCTACTCACTTCCCTACTGTTGGGCTCCAGTACTCGCGTTACATGGTGCCTCCCGTTGAGTGCACCCTCGAACTCGCCCTAAACTAGTGGTTTACCTTCACTTGTAATTGCTGTCTTTGAAGTATGTATTAAATGCTGCTATTGAGTTTTTTCTTAGTGTTGTCTCTGATTTAGTAGAACTGGTCACATTCATCTCCCATTCACGTGCCATTCGCGCCAAATTCGCTCACCACATTATCGTTGTCACTACTGCTGATTATGTCCCGCGTTTCCATCAGTGACAATGAGATCGAAGTACTGGCAAAAGTACGAGCCAGGTAAAGGAACTGACTAAACTATTGACCACCTGCGCATGTTCTCCAAGGGAATTGTTCCTGCAACGGGACCGCAGCAAGAGATGCGGCCGTCGCACAAGAGCACAGTCATGACTCCCGCCCATTGAAGTAAGAAAGGTGGTGCAAAATGTGCACTGCACCTCTGCCGGAGGTCCCTGTGGGATCTGGGACAGGGAAGCAAAAGCAGCGTAAAAACGCGAGCCAAAACCCAAAGACAATATAAGAAGGCCAAAACAAATACCATGTTTTGATCACGTTCTGTCGTGTGGTATCTTGCCGATGCGCCATTTTCAGGACTCAAGGATTTATGGCTGTTTTACGGCACACGTCCATTTCTTTGCGTTCAGCTTTGCGACGGTCAATTTCTGATTGCCGGTGAATTCGCGGCTTGAACTCAATCCCAACCCCGCCAAACCGCCTTCCTGTTGCCGTGGCGCTCGGCAACAATCAGGTGCTGAGGCCAGCCTGCACACCAGCCTTTTCGCTACGCCAATTGCTACGCCATTTAACACAAATCGCTTATACCGCAGCCGCTTCTATGGCATCGCGGTCACTGTGGCGTCGCCACTTTCTGTCTAAAGTGCGTCGCAGTTGGCATCGAAAACATGCCGTTTCCTTCCAGTGCGGGGGCTCAGCGGTCTCCGAGAATCCTGGAACTCCAGACAAGCGCGAAGAGCCGCACAGTCGCCGGGGCTGCAATCTTGCTTCTGTCGCACCGCTTCGCCGGGATCCCATCGGCATTTGAAAAACAAAGCGGAAGTTCCGCTCGCACTAGTGCCACAGCACTAGACCCACAGTACTGTGGGTCCAGCAGGGCCCGTGCGGAATCCCTCGGAAGCTGGCCTCACGGCACCCCTTTCCCGATGAGCCGGAGGCGGCGCTCAACTCAAAAGCGTTCAACAGAAAAACGGCACAGCAAAGTACTGCACATTACTCGGCCTTGTGCCTCTGTTCTCCAAAGGCGCGTTGCTCACCCAGCGCGCCCTACACACCATCGGAACAACTTTGATACAACTTGTATGTTGCTTGAAGCAACAGGCACGACAGACAGTCTGTCCAAATGAACCTTTCAATGGAACTCCTCGAGAGAGTGCACCACCAGCCCGGCACTGGTGTGCAGTAATAGCACCACTGCCACTCAAGCGGAAGCCAAGCCGCAGGGCGCCTTGTTCAAACTTGCGCCTCGTTGCTGATCGCGTGAGCGCTCTGATCTGTCCCGGGGCCTCCAACCTATGTCTACCCGGAACGTTGAGAGGAAAAGGAGGGGTGTGGCCTCGACTACGTGTAATTCGCGAATATCACCAATCTCTGACTCGCTCGCATGAAAACGAAAGGCCTCCAAATTGGCCCTCAGAACCGGTGGCAAAGGCTGTGGCTCGCGGGCGCCATTGGCGGGCTCCGGAAGGGGTGCGAGGCAAGGAGGGAAGGCCGCGTCCGCCCTGGTCACAGTTTGCCGCTTGCCTCCTCTTCGATCTTCATCCGCTCGTACAGCTCCTGCGCCGCTGCGCATTTGAACAGCAGCTGGACCAGCTGCATCTTGTCTTCTCCGACCATGACCTCAAGCCTTTCCTGAATGTCCTGCTCGTTCAAGTCCCTGTCGTCCAAGCTCCTTATGAATTCTATGCACTCCTGCAGGCAGGGAGGAATGTGCACGGCAGTCGTTACATTTGAGTCAATTACTGCCTTCCGCCCCAGTCGTTCGTTTCATGCTTCCCTACGCTTGATTCGTGCAGCCGTCATCAATGGGCAAACCCTAAGCATCCAGGAAACAATGCAGATGCAACTTCCCGTTTCAGAATCCCTTGAGTTAACAACAACTTGAATTTAGCCGGCATTCAAAGGAAGTGAACGACGGCTAGGGTCAGGGGAAAAATGCGGTTGTCGCCTGCAGGAGGTCACGGATTGTCTTGGTTCGAAGCTCAAATCCCAGTACAGGAAGCCACAGCACGAGCGAAAACTTGCACAAGCCATCCCAGCCGGCCCCACCGCCATTCAACTTTGCTGAGCGAGCTGCTTCGATACCTGTCACAGCCAAGGTGCTGAATAGGCTGTTTCAATACTTCGAGCGAACACTCTTGGGTAAAGAAAGCTATGCAAGGACCAGCACTTTCAGTTTGTGGTTTTACGGCATAAACATATGGCGGTAGAACTTGTACCGTTTCGGCTGCAAAAATGTTACCTGCGCAACGCCAGCCCCCAGCCCATCCTCTGCCCTCTTCCTGAGTTTCTCAGCCCTCCCCTTTAGGGCATCCAGCCGCCCTTCCTCGTACACCTCCCCTGTCTCGCTTTCGCTGCTCGCTGCACCCACGCGCAAGCCGCTGGTGGCGGGCTGCATCATCAGCAGCTGCATCTGCGCCACAACATGCGGCGCGTCCTGCCGCACCTCCCGCATGGAGTCGTCGGCGGACGACGCCCCCGTCGTGTTTTCCGTCGCGTTTTCCGTCCCATTTTCCTTCGTGTTTCCCGTCGACTCAGCGACGGCCTCCTCCTCCTCCTTCTCCTCCCCCTCCTCCTTTTCCTCCTCCTCCTCCTCCTCCTCGCCGTCGGTCTCGTAGGCCTCCTCGGCGTTCTGTCCCACTGGCGCGTCGGTGGGATGACGGCGGCCTCCAGACGCTGCGGGCAGAGAAGGCGCTATCGACGACTTGCATGACTCATTGGGGGGAATAAGATGATTCGAATCAATCCGGAAACATCCGGATGCTGCACAAGCACAAATGCACCCGCCGTGTCGAACGTCATCCGCACGGAAATGGCCATTGCACAGAATTCTGGTCCTCTTCGTTGCGCTTCGAAATTGTTAGAAAGCGAATTGCACCAACTTCACTAACCTGAAAATTCGCTTTTCCGTATCTTGCAAATGCATTATTCAAACCGTCAGTCAAGGCGATTGTGTAGGTGCGACCGAATTAGCTTGACTTATCCATGATGCTGAGGGGGATTCGTTGCTGAAAAGATTTCTGACTTCACGGCGCTGATACCGTTTCCCATTCAGCGTCGGTGCATCGTCTGCGCGCCCAACCGTTTGCCTCACCTTCCATGCTCCATGACACGTAAAGTGCGAAAATTCAACGGGGCGAACATGGTGAATGAACAAAAGTGCCCCTGAAGGCAACGTGAAATCGCGACACACTGGCGATGTCCACTACCAACAAAAGGACCAAATAACACTTTTTGTGAACACATCTATATGCATCTCGTCAGTGTTATGCATGCTTAGATTACGGAATAACCCAAACCCGTAAACTTTCTACACCTTTGAGCACGCGTTGTTTGGCCCTTTCCTTCCTATTGGTATCGTGCCTGTATTGAACTCAAGCCGTCGAACAACATCAGGTTCTAGAGCTCTACACATGTCAACACAATCGCCATAAAAAAGTCATTTTTGAGGTGCAAACTGCGAGGCCATTTGACACTAAGTGGCGCCACCACAGCGATTGGCACCAAAGCGGCTGCCGGGGCATGAAATAATGCTAAATAGCAACGCAGCTATGTCGCTTCCTGCCGCTGAATTGTGGACAGAAACGCCCCAAGCCTACGGCGCTGTCACGGTCGAGATTGGGCCACACTCGCAGGCAGAGGCGAGCGCCGCCACCGGCGCATTCCAGCGCCAGGTGCCACAAATTAAATGAGGTGATCCAATCCATTCGGATTTAGTTCAGATGCATGCGGAGGCTTGTGTGGAAGCTTGTGGCATTGGCGATGACATTTTGCTGCTGTTTGAAAAAATGCGCTCAAAACAATCCTCCACCGGGATGCATCAGAGAACAAGCGCCAGCCGCAAGGGAAGCTGCGCATTTGAAGGGCCCAAAAGCAAACATCTCTATACCCCACAATTCTTTCGGCATCAATGTTCCAAATCATTCAATATCGACAAGCTGTTTTGAGCATTTCGCTTTCGCAAGAAGCTCGAAGAAAGCAGCGGCGGCGGACACGTGAACCGAAGAATGAAGTCAAGGTGTTATCGGAAGCGCCTGCTCATTCTCGTAGACGGTGCGCATGTTATGCGCGCCGTCTACGCGCATACGCTCGCCCATCTCTCCCGACTTGGCGTCGCGAAGAGGCTGCTCTTTAATGGCGCCCCTCGCACCCGTCGACCGGTACCTTCACGCTTCGGCGCGCCTTTCCCCACACAGCTCCCGCCCGCGAGCGGGTTGGTGAACAACGTGCCTGTCCAGTCGCCGCCGCCGGCCGTCCTCCCGGTGGCGCCAGCCACGGCGATTTCTACGTCGTCCTCGCGCGCCTCGGCCGCCCGGATGTTGAGCCGCAGCAGCAGCGGCCTGAGCTTGGCGGCGGCGGCCATCTGCTCGCGGCGAAGGGAGCTGGGCGGCTGGTGCGCGGCGCGCAGATCCGAAGAGGGGCTCGGGAACTCGCCGCAGCCGTCCTCGGCGTCCTGATTCAGACGGGCATTCGTCAAATCTGCGCTGCGTCTTATTCGATACAAAGAACAGTGGGCAATGTGGTAAAAGTTTTCAATTTTAATGAACATTTTCTTATAAAACCCCTTCGTGACCACGCTGCCGACCCGCCAGCTCACCCTGGACAAAATGGCGCCAAAAGCACGGTTAAGGGTCACGATTTGGCCCCATTTTTACCCGGTTTAAGCCTCAGATTCACGACATGGCCCCAATCAAACTCAATACACACGCGGCTAGAAAGCTGTTTCAGACGGACAAAATGGACAACAATTTTGCAGTGGCATCAGCAGAGAATGGCGCCCGCTGCCCGCCCATTCGTTCTTCGCCCCCACCTTAAATTAGATTTTAATGAACTGATGATGGACACTGCCTTGCTCGGGCAAAATGAGGAGCTCACGGCTACCACATTGTCTTGTTAAAATGAGGATCGTATTGGCGCCCTCTCCCCCACCTGCGAATAGTTCCTGTAGGGGCTCAGCTCGAGTCCCCGCCCCTCCTCGCCGCCCTCCCCCCTGGGCCCGCCGTCCTCCTCTACCGCCAGCCACTTGGAGCCCTGCCTGCTTCCCACGAACTCGGAGGCCTCCGCGATCTGGGGCAGCTCGGTGATATCCGAGAGGTGTGTACGCGCCGTCTCTGTCGTGCTCACGGACGCCGAGCGGCGCTTCTTTACTGAAGGGGGCGAGAAAGGCGGATTTAGGACGTATGGTCAGGAGAATGTGGTACAGGCAAGTACCCCAAAGAACTATACGTTGCCCTCTTGTCCGAAAAGAATGTTTCAGCCCACTGCGGCGTGATAATGCAATGCGCATCTGGGAAAATGGTACATGTTGAGGCAACATTGGTACTTTATCAGCAAATGCTGGTACAGGAACGAAGCGTTGAGCGCCATGCCTTATGCCAACTTTACCGAGAGGGGTGTTTATTGCGGCTGCGTTGCCGCTGTTGCCAACTCCAGCAGGGCTTCAGGAGATGGCCGTATGATAGCATCGACCGGCATTAATGCGTGCACCAGCGCTGCCCCAACGCTGATGCAGTGGACTTGCTGCAACACTGCTTGGCGAGCGCCAAACATAACGTTGTAACTTTGTGTAATTGTAATTACATGTAATTACATAAGACATACTGTGCACGCACCCTCGCATCAGTACGTACCCAATTTGCGGATGCGCACTGGCATGGTGTAAGCCAAGCGCCAACAATTGCAATGAGATTCGCCGTGCGTTGTTTGTCACCGATTCTGTTGACTATTCCCCTTGTATTAGCTGTTAGAGGTATGTTTGCTTGGACGCGATTAGTACCGGCCAATGTACGGTAGACTTCATCTGCTTTATCAGATTTACATCAAGGAAGCAAATGCTTATACAGTAGTGCCCACTAATAGAATTTTTCATCAAATTAAGGGGCAGTTGCCACCGATGGTAGTGCCATAGTTTCCGCGCCGGTGCTGAAAATCAACATCAAAAATCACGCTAGGTCAAAGCAATTAAACCGCTTTGAAATGAAAAATAGTTACAACACATTGAAAAACGATCACTCAGTGCACTGTGGCTAAGCGGAAATACTTCGCTAGTAAAAAAACTCGTTCGTTTTTCTCGGTGCAAACCCCCTTTTTCCACCTGCAAAACCTTTCTAATAAATGGTTAAATTGCCATTAGTAAAAATTGCCATGAATGGAGCTTCCCGCCGGCTCACCGGCGGCCCATTGCCCATCTATCTTTGCCGTCAGCGACTCTTGGCTGCTCCTCCGCCCGGCGCGCCCCAGGTCCGCCAGCCCGTCCTCCTCGCTGAAGTTGTCCCCGACGTCGAAGGGCAGCAGGGAGCGCTTGAAGGAGTCGCGGCGGCGCTCCACGCAGTAGTGTATGTGCGCCGCGTACCTCTTCATGTGGGTCCTATCTACCGCAAGAGAGGCCGCGACGTCAGTCCTTAACGGAGCACGGGCGCTGGGGCGCCAATTGCAAGGAAAGTGTACTTACTTATTTCTTTGTAATTTTGCAGAAGTAACTTTTGGTACATTATTAGAGATGCATGTTTGGTCACATCACATAAGGAATTACATTAAGTTCATAGATTTGTATTTATTGACATGTTTGTTGGCTTGTAAATTTAACTTTTTTTAAGTTTTGGTAAATTGACAACAAAAAAATCAACGATTAAATGTTGAGTAATGCGTTAATTTTCCATGCGAACTGCTGGATGTTTTCCTCACGACTGTGTTAGTAATGCTGCAGCAAGCATGCTCTGCTGCAACAATTTCCGACAAGGTGTTCCTGCGCCATTCATTTCGTCGCTAAAGCGGTCTATTCAGAACGCTCTCGACTTATACATTTGAACCAAAATTTAAGTTGCGCAACTAATTTGATTTGAGACCCTCAGAAAGCATCAGCAATTGTATGTTATTCTGAGCACAGAGCGCCATTTACGAAACATATTTTTCTTATTTTTGACGATGAAGTTGGCACCCTTTCTACTTTCTTGGGTAAAAAGTTGCAAATTTGACTATTGCACGTTGAACGTGCATATACATATGAACTTCATATGTATCTATTTGCTTATTTCTCTGAATCATTGGATTAATTCATGGTATGGTTGAACTATTACTTGCAACATTTTCCCCCTCAATTCTACGGTGTTCTGTGTCGCTCTTGTGCCAAACACAGACTCCTCCGCGACCCGATCATGCCGCCCAGTCGCCGCTGTGGTAAGCAGGTGGACAGCCAGTGCTGGGCTTTGCCCCCATTATGCAATCGCGAATGGCGATTCCAAATCTTGTGGCTCCAAGCACATACAACGAGATCGTATACAAGTTATTGCACTACGTAACACGAACCATCCACTTTGGTGCAATGATGAAACGATTTCGTTCTATCTGAATGTTCAGGCAAACCATGGGATGTCCTTGGCGCAATGCGCAGATATGATTCAACAAAGGCCAAGCTCTACTTTCCAGTGGTATTGTCTTTTGACTTATTTTATCAGGCACCAAGAACCAAAAGACTCTCGTGTTGCCAGCTACTTACAAACGTTGCAATATTGTTCACTAGCAGAGTCGATGCACATAAGTTAGTGAGCACAGATCAACAGTCTGCGTAAAATGCGCCATTCCTCCATTGGGAAATTCGCCATTTTGGCAACGCAACAAAGGAAAAAGGCGCAATATAAATTTAGTTGCAAGTCAGCTGTAATTTGCAGTGCACAAGGAAGTTGACAGAATTCCACTTGACAAACTGCAACTTCTCCAGCTGTCGTCATTATGGCATGACCTGTAGCCGCACCTAACGTAGTCGAACTTCAGCACGTCATCCAGGGACGGGCGCTCGTCGGGGTTCCGATTGAGCAGCTTCGTGACCAGGCTGCGAAGGTTTTCGCTGTACGTGTCTGATATCGGTGGATATTTTCCGCTGAAAACCAAAAACCAAATATAAATATAAACATATCAACTCAGTTGCGGTGGAGCATACTTAAGAAGAATTCGCGAAGGTGTAATTTTAAATTTTTCAGTGCGCAAATTTGCATGCATCCGGGGAAGGGCAGATTTTGGTGAAGTATGTGGCTGCATTGCCATCAATGCATTTGACAGCATTGCGTGAATGTCGATACATTGGCCCTGATACAGCACTATGCTGTGTTGCATGAATGATACTGAATGTACGGTGTACGTTGGTACAATATCCTGTATAGTACACACAATGTGCATCGATGCCGGCTTCAAATATATGAATGCGCGAATAAGCGCTGGATTCAACTGACCAAAAAAGTGGCGACGATATAAAATCAACGATCTCAAAGCACGGGATCAAAGTATGCTTCAATTTTTTGCCTTCCCAAGGCGGAAAAGCCCCGGGGACCACGTGTCATACTGGCAAGTGTTGATTCCTGTATCAATGCTGCGTAAATGCTGATACGCTGGCCTTACTGTCTCGTTTTGTACATTAAATCAATGACGCAGAACTTTCAGTCAATGCTGGATCAATTACTTTCCAAATGTCTATGGAAATCGAATGCGATTATAAGCATAGTAAACGACCACATAGGGTGCCAATTCTGGCAACATCAGCTGCACATATGTATCTGCGACTGTGCCGGTAATGTCTTACCTACGTCCACCTCTGCGCTTATCAGTGCCGTGAGTAAATCGCATTAACAAGAGAGTTCACCCCATTTTCTTGAAATTGGTTGCGTTATGGACGCAAATGCGTCGCATGCCATGCCATATATCCACATTGAAACAAGATCTTTCAGAGTTCCTGGGCCAGGAGTTCATCAAAAAATATCTCAATAAAATCTACTACTGGAGCACTCCTTCGATGCTTCCATTGTGGCAATATGCGCCGCAGGCAGTTAGCCACCATTCTTGCTGGTTTTGCCATCGCATTTTCGTAGTATATTCATTGCATGGACAAATATGTGACGTCATCGCCCCTCTTACATATTCGGATGGTCCCCTTGTGTTTGCGAAAGCATACTTCTATCATTGGTATTCGCGAAATTCTAGACGCATGTGGAGTTATGCTATGTTATATTATGTCTCATGTTACCTCCCTGAGATCTGCACATTCAACAAAGTTGCCGGTTTTGGCTCCCACCTGAGGATTTTGATTACCAGCGCCGGAATGGACTGCCCGTCGAAGGCGTGGTGCAACGTGCAAAGCTCGTAAAGTACGCATCCCAAAGACCAAACGTCGCTTTTGGGACCGTATGGCCGGTCCTGCCAAAGCAAACTTGAATGATCAGTGATGACAATTGATTTCTTCGAGCCCACCCGTAACCAGGCTTTGCCCCTGCAGCGCCCATTGAAGACGACTGCAGGTGTGTAATTATTACGCGCGTGATTGAACCAGGGATGAACTCCTGGCGTCTGCCACAATTGCGTGAGGCAGCGACGCCATTGCGATGATAAATATTTTGACGCACTCGCCGCGAAGGCATTTACAGTGGGCGGAAAACAGAAAATGACAACGCGCTGGCGCTGGGCAGCAAAATCCAACTGAGGGGCGCTTGGAAAACATTGTTATGTTGATGCGCGTTTGGAACAATGTTGCTCCGTAGAGCACAATATTAGCTTACTGAGTCAGCACATTGCAACTTGGGAAAGGTAGTGCAAATTCTGTCCACGGGCTGCCTCGGCGACAATTTCGGGAACTTGTATCGCAGACTTCAGGCGATAGGAAAGTCATTTAGAAAACGCGTTTGCTGGTCTTTAGTAATTTTTGCACGTTGCAACTCAGGAGAGGACAATGCAAATTAAATCCATGGAATGCTTCAGTAATTTTGCAACTCGGTAATTTGGCATTTCCTGGCAACTTGCCTCGCAAATTTCAGGCGAGAGGTAGTACGGCGTGCCGACCATGGATCGAGCCATGGCGAACTCCGCGCCAAGAATCTTGGAAATGCCGAAGTCGCCGAGCTTCACTATGCCCTTTGACGTGAGGAAGATGTTCTGCGTCTTCAGGTCGCGATGCAGAATGGCCTAGGCACAGCCAAGAGCAGACATCGGTCAAAGTACACGGTTTCGAAACGTGTGAAATCGCGTAAGACCGTGCCAAAATGTGTGAAAATCACGTGAACTCACTCAGTCGTTACTACGCAATTACGTCCCATTCTTATGGGATGAGTACGTAAGCAACACGATTTTCGCACGAATTCAAATCGTATTACACGGTACACGATTTCCGAAATCGTGTGTTTTGCCCTGTCTCCTACCAGTTAACGCCAATGGACGCATGGAAATACCAAGGCTGTACAAGATAGCTCGCAAGGGGTCAGAGGCGGGCGCTGGTCATCAAAGCGTAGTCCCACGTTTCCTCATCGAGTTCCAAAAATATTTGACTGCAGGGCTTATAAGGTTTACCAACAATTGAAAAAATGATATTAGTTGACAGAGCGATGACTCTGCGATACGTTTGCACTTGAGTAAAATCACTCTGCTGATATCATTCTTCAGATATCCAGCTCCAGCGTTTGCTGCGCAGTTGGTCAAGTTTAAGACGTTGTTGTCACTTGTGAATTGTACACCCAGTGCCCTTATTCTTACGAAATTCTGCAAATTAAATGCGCGAAAATCAAACGCATTCTATGAATTACGCATTTTGCTGTATCATCAAAAATGAAGATGCTATTGGCCTCATGATATAGACTTCATAGAATCAATGCAAACAACATGAAACTTTGACTGGAAAAGTGTGTTGTATTTTGCAAACTTCCCTATTGTGGTCAGATTGTACTATAATGGGTTTATACCCTGTATTCGATGCACATAACAGCGTGCTAAGTAGAAGCAATCACTTTTACCCAATTTTATTTTGTAGTTTTTGGTTGATTAAAATTCTCAAATCATCAATAATTATGCCAACGTGCAATGAATCATACTGCGTAAGGTCAGTGCTTTATGAGAAAGAAGTTCTGGAGGAGCTTTGAGAAACAGGTCATAGGCTTTTGCATTTGCACAGCATTAGCCATCCGTTCATGCAATGACGGTCAGTCTGAAAAATCGAACATGTTTTCCACACCACTTCGAGTTTTACGCCTAAAAATTCACGGTAACTCAATGAAAGTGAAAATTCGTGGCGTCGGTGGTTGCATGCCCAAGGTGGCAGAAACATTCGGCGTGCGCCACTCATTGTAGTAGTGTTGCTCCATGCAGCGATTCCTCTGGAATTTTCCTCGGGAATGCACTTGCAATAGCGAAATTTCAGCCCTCTGACTTACGACAGCTTGTGATGTACATAAAACACAATAACATTATTGAGGTTGAATTAGTTGATTATGAATTAATGACAGATCGAATAGTTTGAAGGTAAAATGTGCCAAGGCAAAATGGGTTATTTCCCAAGAACTTATGTTCCGGAAAGTACATTCTGGAACATGTTAACAAGTGACAACAAGTGGCAGCGTACTATCATAGATGCTGGATAAACATGTAAACATCTCTGAACACTGACAGAATTCGACTTTTCAGGCAAAGTAGCTGATTGTGCACGAAAAAACTCCGCCCTTAAATTGTGTCAAACTTTGCTCTAATTCCATGTCAACTATCTCTGATGTGCTAATATTGTCAAAGAGGTATTAATAGAGAAAACGGCGAAACATTGTTTCATTTGTCAAATGAAAGAGTCATCTTGGCTGTCTCAAAGCATCTTTTGCCACTTCACCGCCATTTGTTAGATGATTCAAAACTAGAAGTATTGAAGTGCAGATACTTCAAATATACAATTGACGCGTTGCTATAACACAACTGAAATGTACGAGCTGCTAGCTGTGCCGCGCGGTTGTCTTGATGAGCGCAACGAGGAATTCAGGTAGCTGGATGCGCTAATGCGGCATCATTAGGCCGGAGCGAGAACTCCCTCTTTCCGCAATACCTTGTGTAGTTTCTGACCTTGTTATGTATGTGGTGCAAGGCCAGGCAGATCTGTACGAATTTCATCATGATGTCTGCCTCTGTCAACAGCTCACCCCCGCGGGCCTTTAAATAGTGCCCAATGTCTCCCTCCTGCGTGTAATTCAAGACGAATATTCAATAATGGGTACTTTTCAGAACGTTCAGAAACATCAGTACTGTATGGACACATAATAATAGTAAAATAGTACTGCCTCCGTCCGGAAATAAATGAAACATTCTGTTTGGGAGGTTACATTTGTATCACGAACTTGTCAGTTCTCCTTAAAAACTTAACCAAGCCACTATCTACATATTTACCGTGTGCTGCCAAATTCTTGTGGACAACGGACAAGTACCGGCCACATGGCAGTATTTGAACCCTTGTGATTCAGGTTCGCGAATGTTCCAGTTCCGGTGCTGAGTCGTTCGCTTTCAAAGTATTACCATATGCATGAATCTTATTTTCTGTCGATGAATTTTGACAGCATTGACTAAACATATAGTAGATACTCTGGTCCAATTTCCAACGAAAAACAAAAAAGATAAGGATGCGGTCAGTCAACAAATTGTTTCATTTAATTCCGGACGGAGGAAGTACTATATTTACAATAGCGATATTACTACTGGATAATTTTGAAAATTGAAGTTAATGAGCGATACTGCGTGATGTTGCATGCCGGTGACAAATGCGAGAAAAACATTTTGTGGGGGAAAACTCATAATGCTCCGTATTTTGAAGTACTGGACAGTGCCATTTTTTTCTGAAAGGTTGTTTTCCTGAAATTTTATTAACGTTTACCGTGAGTAGGCAGCGGCAATTGGAAGTAGCAGGCCTACCCAAGAGAGAACAGCAAGGCCAGAGTGTGGGTGTATGCAAGCATAAATGCGATTGTTACTACAATTACATATTCTGACTATTTTAATGCAAAGTTACTGTTCTCGTGCTCATGCATTTCAAATCATTTGCCTGAATGACAGTCAGCAATCGAAATACTTAAGTGCGCAAGGACGTAGCAAGTGCTCAAAAGTCACAGCCGCAGTCCATATGTAATAGATCGATAATTGGATAGAATAGCAAATGTCACAAAGGAACCTATTCGGCTGTTCTGCTTGGAATTGCCTTCGCCATAGTTAACTAAAGTGCCTCCACAGGAAACTTTTCAGTCGTGCACAAAACAATATGATGATGAGCACCGCTTTGTGGCTTGGCGAAAATTGAAAGCCACATGGCGTGCAGATCCCTCAACTTACCCAAACGACGCACCAAACGCTTGACATATCATGCGCAAGTGCTGCGGTGCTTTCGCGCATCACGAGTTATGTGCAAAAGCCATTTCATATCGGCAGCACCTCAATCCCAAAGCATGCAAACTTAAATCTAACACTAAGTGACAAAACCTATATCGGCAGTCCTTGATGGCACCAAGCTTGGTGTGAACCGCTTATGCGGTTCGAGAGTTGAGCAGCCAAGGCTTTGCGTCCAAGACCGGCACAGCACTGCATCGGATGGATCAGGCATATCACCTCGCAGAATTCCATGACGATGTGCATCTTCCCGCTGTCCGAGTAACAGTCGTAGTACTTGACGACGTTCGGGTGGTTTAGGTGCGCCAGCACCTTCACCTCGTTCTTGCACTGCCGAAACAGACGCCCCCTTGGAAAACGCGCAATATGAGGCAGCGTGCCAGTGTTTAAAACGCAATTGAGTGTTTTATTGGAATGCTAGGTCGAAAGTTCCCGCATAAGAAGATATTTAAACTTTTGAATAATATGGAAAGTTGAATTTGAATAAAGCTCGATTGAGAATTAAATTTTGTGATCGGTGCTGTTGTGGAAGCTCTCAAGATTTTGAAGTTATCTTTCAAGCCGTGTATCTCTGAATATTCAGAAGTGAAACCAACAAACAGCAATTAATTGAAGTATATACACTTCAATTAATAGTTCTATGATGGTTTCACTTCTGAATGTATAATTTATTACATATAATTTTGCTATAGGACTAACAGCATCAATAACAGCAAGAAAATCTGCGAATTTCCACATGTGATTGCCTAAATTCGACCAGGTTTATCGCCTAAAATGCCGCAAGAAGATATTGAGGGCAAGTGTTTATCTCTACCATGAGCTGGGAGAGTAGACAAAATACTGTTTTTTGAAATGCTAAATTGAGCGTTACAGTTTTTTCGTTCGCTTGCGAAAGATCCATCTACTGCTGGATGATCAATGCGACTCTTGAAGCAAAAAAACCGCTTTGCAGTAGAATCCGTTGCAATCAGATCACATCGGTATTCAGCATAGCCATAATTGTTGCTCTCCGTATTTGAATTCTCCGCATACAAATGATCATTAATAATTAGGCTTCGCTTATGCAAAAAGCTTAAAGTACCACCAGTCCAAAACAGCGCAATGGGGAGATCCCGGATTAATCCTTCGAAGGCCTATAGCTTGCACTGACAAGCCTAAGCCAATCTTCGCCCTGAATCTCATGGCACTTGTCGCGGAATGTGAAATACAGATGGGCGGTATTTCCGCTTACTTCCAGCCTCTCCTTCTGGCTCATCCTCCCAATCAGCACCTCCTTGACGACAACCAGGTGGCCGTCAGAGCGCCGTCGGGCTTTCATAGCCCTTCCGTACGCTCCGCTCCCAATGTGGTCGAGGAGCTGAAAATCAACGTAGAAACAGGACCTGAGCAATAAGAAGGGAAGCTTATCGGTGCTGACGCACACGCGAGGTGACGCGTCACCGGCTTGCAACGCCAAATCCTTAGCCAGTGGTCGATCCAACCGTTAGTGCCACTGGCGGCGGTGTGCGGCCATGCATATCCTTGCCTTGAGCACTTCATTCTGCCTATCCAACTCTCACTCTCTGTCTTTTGCATCGCTGAATGTTGTTATAAATCGAAGCCGCCATGAGACACCCGACACCCGCTGGCAAGGAATTTTCCATTTTACACAGTCTTCACCTATGTTTCAATTGTGTCAAGGTGGTGTAGATCGTGTATTAGAGGCCTAAACATCTTAAAGCGGTGCCAAATCGTGCTGCCTCAACCGTATTCTTTGCTGCAATTTTCACCGCCGATCGGAACTTGCGCCCGACTCACCCCGACTTTGCGATGACGGATTGTATTCTGTTCTTGGCGACGTCCCATCCGCTCCTCCCATCCTTCTTCGGCTTGCATTTCTTCTCCTCTTCCTGCCTGCCTCCCTCGCCCCCGTTCAACTTCCCCTGAGTCTCGCCGGCCGTTGCGCTGCTGTCCAGATCCTTCATTACTTCCGCCGCGATCATTCGCCAGCCCGTGAGTTCCCCCCAATCTTGTTTCTCCGCACCTGTAAACAAGCGGCTCTTTTCATCATAACCATAGTCACTACCATCACTACGTTTCTACAGAATAAGCAATTAAGGAGCCGTCAGCTTCTTGTTTTGCCCGAGCAAAGCAATGTATAAGATCAGTTCATGCGGCCCTTTCAAACACGTTCGGTCTCTTGCATCGCCAGTACATACTACATTTTTGGGGCGCCCACTGCCATGCCATTGACACTGGCTGATGGCACTGCTCTCATTTTCATGCCATCGCAATATCTGGGGTGGCGCCACTGTGTTTCAAAATGTTATCGCAGTCGGCATCGCAGACCTGGTGCTTGATGATGATGCATTCTGCGTTGAGAATGCGTATATGTGTGGTTTATTCTAATTGCGTACTTTCAGTTTGGGTTTGGTGGTATTGGATTTACACAAGCGCTTTCGGATTGTGCGTTGGTGCTATGATTATCTTCAGCCACACTACAGCGACGCTTCAGCCTTACAACGCTGCGCAATGCGAAGAATCACAGCGGCAATAGTTGTCCCATTGTAGTCGCATTTGCAGTAGCAATCGTAGTCCTCAAGAATCATTGGCAAAGTCCTAGGCTGCTTTTGTTTCCTGCATATCACAGTCTGTCGAATTCCGCAATACTTAATGCATTGACTCCATCTTTGGACTGCGCACCCAAGCGCTAGGGAAAAAGGTCCAAATAGCACTGTTTATAGTACACACAAAACGCATTTCATCAAAGTTCTGCACGCTGAGAACACAAAAATAACCCAAACCTATCAATATTACACACGTTTGAACACGTGTTATTTGGCCCTCTTTTCCAAGTGAAAGCCGCTGGAACGACTTTGACTGAAACTTCATTGAAAGCTAGTTTTCATTATGGAGAAATTGTTCGCCGAAATCGCAGAGAACAATTGGCTAGGGAAGCAGGAAAAATTGAACAGGTGCTGAATTGTCAACATATTTATCCCAGAGTGTTTTTCGTGTTGCTGAGTCCAATTTCAGGCGTTACCCCACCTCCCGTCGACGGCTCGCACTCCCCTCCACCGTAATCCCCTCCTTGGGAGCACTCCCCCTCGTCGCTGTAGTTGGCGAATCCGTGGTTCGTCTCGCGGTTCGTCGAGTAGTGGTCACGGGTCGTCGTGCCCATCGACCCGGCCTTGGTGGCCGGCATGTCGGTGGGCCCGGACCAAGAGGCGGGGTCGATGTCGCCGGTGATCGTGTTCTGGTACGACATGGCGCTGCCTGCGTTCCGTCGCACCACGTGACGATAAACTATTTGTTCATGGCCAACTATTCGCTCCGTTTTTGTCCCATTTGCGTCTATGATTTTGGTGCGTTATTTCTTTATTATCAGTGTTCAATTTTCGGTGAAATTTGGTCAAAGCTGGGCCCAAGAGCTTGAAATGCGCTATCGAGCATTAGGTCAATGCGCTAAGCCTGCGGGATTGGGAGCACTTTGTAGCAAGGATCCACCGTTTAGTAAACCTCGAATTTTCACTCGGAAACGATAGAATTTACTTTCCGTGCAATGCTCAAATGCCCGGAGATGAAAATTTTCTGGAAAATTAGACGCTGAGGCTCTGAGAACCCAGTCTCTTCAATTCTGACTCCCCGCGATAAATCTGAAGCGGTTCTTTTGATTAAATTCGTCCCTTCAAATGGAGTCAAATGAAAATGGGGTGTTTGATTAGGTTGTCATATATCTATCTGGGGCAAACAGGCGACTGCATTTAAGAGCATTTTTGCAGGAATGAAACGGGGATTTGATTTTCACATGTACATCCCGAATCATCCACTGCTCAATACATGTGTACTTATAATTAAATGTGCTTCACTCGTGATTAAAGGGCACATTGTCCCCACATTCATATGTCGTTATCACTGTAATGGATCATTAATTGCTCGACGAGCTTGATTGGTTGAAAGTTTGATCGGGCCAACTATCCATCGATTATCCAGCGCTAACTGGTTGATTGACACAAGGCTAATGCTCACTGCGTGCAATTAATTCGAATATAGTAAAACTGCCATCGGAATTGCTTTTGAATTCACTAGGTTGCTGAATGCACAAGCAATTCCGATGGTAATTCGACAGAGAGACCATTTGTGCTTGCGCCAAACACAAGGAATTACGCGCCAAGGCAATGTTGCGCCTTTGCTGTTTCACACAAGTAGCGTTTCACAAATTGATGTCATTCAACAATTGAATGATTTTGGCACTGCGTGTAACAAGTACACAATTTCGCAGATGTTCGATCGCTGCTTCTGTCTGGATTGTCTGGCAGGCTGCAGCGCGACTGTCATTCACAATCAACTGCTTTCATGCAAGTTTTCAGTCCCATTCTTTCTTGGGGCCGCCATATTCACCTCCAGCATAAAACGCCATTTTGCGATGCGAGCTGTGATACCAATTTTGAAACTAAGTGGCGACATCGCAGTGATTGCGACGGGGGCAAAAGCAGCTGCGAGGGCATCAATTAGTGTAAAATGGCATCGCACTGGCCTTCGCAGAAGCGACGTTTCCTACTGGTGCCCGCAATCGAGCGAATTCACTGAGCGCAATGATGACAGAATATCATATACGCTATATACAATAACAATGTTATATATAATATATATTGCATAAACATTACTGTAAACAATGTGTATCATACGAATTCGCACGAATTTAGCCAGCTTTATCAGCATTCTAACAGCCAGTCGAACGAAACTGCTCAGAAAATTTTGCATGAAGATCAGAATCGTTTAAGCGCTGGCGCAGCAGTCCCTGGTGCACAGGTTCTCCATTTACCGCAAGTTTTTTTCTCTTTTTAGGGAAGCCGCTATGTCGATTTTGGTATGCTTAGCGTCAAATTGATGCTAAGAGGTGGGAGGCTCCAAACTTGTGGAGTTAAGAGATTTATTATGCAATTGCTACAAAATCCACAGAAGTAAAGAAGTTGCTCAAAAAGGAACCTATTTAGCTCTGTACCAAATAGCATTGGATGTGGTATCAAAATGCCGCCGTACCAAATGAAATTGAAAGTAATACCAACGCATATTGGGTCTGGTACCAAATTCGCGCCGGTACCAAAAATGCTAAATGGTGTAACGAAAATGTTGAACCAATACCAATTAACCATCGAATGGCAGTATGCGACCAGCCCTGCGACCAGCGTTGTGCTTGCGCTTGGTTTAGGATATATGTTCTATGAGCCCTTATGGCGGCGGCGGTTCATGAATAATTGTTACTGGTTCAACGTTTTGGTTACACCATTCAACATTTTTGGTACCGGAACGAATTGGTACCAAATTCAGTATGCGTTGGCATCAGTTTCAATTTTATTTGGTACGTTGGCAGTCTGGTACCAGATTCAATCACTAGAAAAAAAGGGCCAAATAACACGTGTTCAAACGGGTACAAAGTTTACGGGTTTGTGTTATTTTTGTGTTCTTAGCGTGCAGAACTTTGATGAAATGTGTTTTATGTGTGCTCGCGAAAGTGTTATTTGGCCCTTTTTTTCCTAGTGAATATCGTTTGGTACGCAGTTAAATACGCGCGGCTCAAGATGTCACAGATAAGCGGAAAACACCCCAAAATTACTTCCTGTACCTCCTGCAAGTGTTCGATGGCCAAAGGCGGCTTTAGAATGGCTTGGAATGGAACAATTTGCAGCCATTGAGACTGTCCAACTCGCCTTTAATGGCATTCATATTTCCGTTTTTCAACCACTGAAATCAGTGCAAAGTTGCTTGGTTTTTCCTTAAAACCATTTAATAGTTGCATGCCATCGTCAGGCAATGTCGCTGAGTCATCTTTGCGTCGACATAAGTCTGATGCTAAGGAGGGGAGGGGGGTTGGTTCTGAGCTTAGCGTCAAATTGACGCCAATCGTACCAAAATCGACATAGTGTCTTCCCTTACACAACGCGAAATGACCAAAAATATGTAAAATAGCTGCGAATCTGTGTAAAATAGCCGTGAATCGTGTCGTTCATCTTAATTCACTGACAAACTGGCTTGCCAAATTCGGCAAATGCCATATAGTGATCCAATAAGGACAAGTCGCCCTCACTGTTACTGTAGTTACTGCGATTTTTGGGACCGCCTTCCACCAGCGTGTATTACTCTGGAGATGCGTGCCTTCGGTGGAATCTGCGATGGAGATGGTCGGGCAGCCCGAGAGGGTGGAAAGCTGGTTGCGGCGGAGGGTGGACACGTCCACGAAGCTGGCGGGAATCTTCTGCGAAATGTCAGAGCTGCGCTGCTTCTGAGCGCCTTCCAGAGACCGTTGGGGTGCGCCTGCGTCCACGGCATTGCCGCCTCTCAGATGGGAGTTGCGCAATAACGTGCTGCGCGTGCGAGAGCACATGCGAGAGGACACATTTCA